TATATATATGTTCGTGTGTTCACGTGTTTGCATTTTTTTACCTACTTTCAACTCAAAAATCGGAAAAGCTAAGGGACTGAAACTCCGAGAACATCTGCCCATCCCATGTGGGGCTGTTTGCTTTTAATATAATCATTTACCTTTCACATACGGGCGCCTAAAGGAAAATTGCACTTGTACTACGATCCACAGCACTTCAAAGATATCTGTAGTGTTGCGGAGTACCCGCGAAAAGCTAACCAAGAAGCCGTCACAAAGAAAAAGAAGAAAAGAAAGGTTTATCTTGCTTTGAAAGGCAGATACGCAGCAGATGTTCTGCAGGCTAAACCTAGAGCACAAGGACTGGTCTTCTACAGTGGTAACGCATTGCGTCCGGAATGAAGAGGAGTGATTTGATTCTCTCTCGGTGGTGGCTATACAATTTTCCATACGGATGATAAATATTCTGATAAAATTCCAGCTAGTATTTTCCGGCTAGTTTTCGATTTGACATAGCGTCTGTTGTAAAATTTAACGTAACCGTAGAAGTGCCGCAGGCATTTAAAATCTTTAGCTCATAAATGCACAGAGAATATCCCTGCAAAGTTTCAGCTTTCTTTGTCTAATTTCCGAAATTGTTTCCTGCCAGAGAAGTACGCAGCTTTTTTGGAGGCCCATACACGGCATCTTTTTTGGAGGTTTTTTTTGGCGGGAAAGCGATTTCCGGAAGCAGATAAGATGGGAAGCTGAAATTTGATAGAGATGTAGTATGTCCTTCTTTAGGTTAAAGATTTACGAAAGTGTCAAGCTGAGATTTTGCATTCGCAGGCAAAATGCCAATGCAGGAACTGAGTTAACTAAGACTTTCTGACTTTAGGAGGACATTTGTTTTCCATGCATAAGTACGCAGGCTTAAAATGAGCTTTGGCGTACGCCTAATTTGGATACGTTAAAGCGACTTCGCCAACCAGACATATTTATGGAGCTGAAATTTTACGAGCTTTTTTTATGCCCAAGTGCGACCAATTCAGCTTTAAAACGCCCAGTTCTTGCGTGCGTCCCAAGCAAATGTTTAGTTCGGGATATTGTTGGCACCCAAATAACTCGGTAACCATGCTGAGTGGGAAGCAGTGTTTTACTGAGATGTTTGTTCATGTGCAGGCCAACAAACGGAAGATAACACGGGATCTGCGTACGGTGTGCATCAAACATTCAAACTGCAACACTGTAGTCACACATCAGTATAGGCAATCTCTCTAGAGGATGGAAACATGTAAAAATGCATGATCATACCGGCAAGCCTCGTGAGTCGCTATCTGGGTTTTGTGGCAAGAAATAAACTGAATGAAAAACAAAGTAGGGAATTCAGTGAAGAAAAAAGTTCTATTATTTTTATTGAATTCTCACTGAATTCAATGCTAGTTGTATGCGGTCGTTACTTTTATCAGTTTGTCAAAAGAAAGCCGACGGTTTCAAGTCATTGTCAAATCTGGCAGCGATATGATTCATTATGAATTTTGGATACTGCTGCGTCCAAGGGCTCTTGGTGCAAGTTTAGGAGCCGCGAGAACAAAAGATGCTTCGGAGAATATCTATGCACGACAACATTTCGTCACTTGCTGTAAAGCATTTGGCCTTCAAGCCATTGATTCTGTTTATATCGATATCGAGGACAAGGAAGGCCTGAGGCAGCAGTGTGAACAAGGTGAGCACCTGATCCGTGTTGGTACTCTTCTGTACCATCATTTTTAAGATATTCTTAGCTTTCTGAAATGGTATCTTGTAGCTGGGCTTAGCATTGCCTCCTTTAGCTGAAGCAATGACTACTCGAGGATGAGTGTAAGCTCTTACAGAAAATTTATTAGTGTACTGGTGGTACATCGCTCACAAGGGCCATTTTTTGTCAAGTGAAAGCTCATAGGAAAATTCTTTCCCCATAGTGCCTTACGATAAACACGGAGGCATCCCTGCAAGGCTTTATTAATAAAGTTCCTTTTTCCTTTCCCTTCACAGTAGTGTCTCTGCGTCACAAGATCCTCTTCCGAGGTCTTTTTGATATTTAGAGCATTGAAGATGTTTTCAATGCTCAGCATCTTCGGTCTTGATACTTTAACGGAAAATCGAATGCTAGGCGTAACACGCTGCTTGATTTAGAACGTGAGTGCGTCTGCAGGGCCTCACTGTCCGAAAACACGACGCTCAAAATTATCTCTGCCTTAACGTAACGATTAGCAAAGGACAATTCATTCATTTAGCGTTAAAATTTTTTTGAATTAAAGACTTAATTTATGGTACAAGTGTGGCGAATTTTTTAATGCGAATGTTCCACTCTGAATGTAAAAAAAATTGTCTATCAAAAATTGTTCTAAATACGGTTTTGGCCGGGAGCACAGAAAGCAGATATTGTGGAGTAAGATGAGATAAATATCCGTGATTGTTGTTGAGAACACGTATTTCAGGACGTAACTGGGGCTTTGACGGCAAGCAGACAATACATCCGAAACAAGTGGATATTGTACAGAATGCATTCTTGCCTTCAAAGGAAAGAGTTGACTGGGCACGCACGCTAGTGGACAAATTCGAAGAGCATCAGAAGGCTGGCAGAGGAGCTTTTGTCTATCGTGGCCATATGGTTGATCGGCCGCTGTTGCTTCAAGCGCAAAAAATTGTCACACTGATGGAACGCATCAATGAACGCCTGTGATCATTCCGGGCCGCATAAAGAATACCATTTCCGGAAACAGCTAGTCCCATCAGTTTAGTGAACGTTAGCCAACAAATTTTCATGCTTATCGTGTACATCCTACTTCGTTTATGGCGGGGAAGTATGAACTGTGAGAGTTTGAAATGATCTGAGAATTCAAGTGATATCTGTGTAACGCACTTGAGAGATATCGTCACAAGAGAACGCTGTTTGATATACATGGAGTAACCTCTTCTCACTCTGAGCAGTCGTTTCAAAAATCGGCCAATGCATGTGTTTGAGCTTGGTTGGCTTGAAAAGTGCTCGCTGCTTTTTGAAGACCTGCTTATTATATA